CCTCATTCTGGAAGTTTATGCAGCACCCCAAACACTACAGTGTGAAAGTTAAAGCAGGATTCCTGCCCAGCAGAATCTCAATGGGTGACACGTCACACCATCTCCTACAAGACTGTTAACTAACGTGAGCAGAGACATTTATGCTGAGAGCCGGCTTTGCCCACACGGAGGAGAACGTCTCTCTCTGCCACAGGGGCTGAAGGGCAGCAGCTGGGTTCTGGGAACCGCGGACACGGCCGGCCAGTCCAGCGGGTTTGGTTTGGCTCTCAGAATTGAGCGTGTCAGAGGGGGAGGATCAGAAACAGATAACAAACCACACAGAACTAGTGAGACCTCTAACGCTGAAGCCTTCGGGACGGCAAGAGCAAGGCCCTGTTGTGGCTGAGGTTTAAGTGCTAAACCAGCACACGGCTCACCCACGCCCACGAGTCACTGGCCAAGCAGGAGAGAGGGCAGCGGCCTTGGCGGCAGTGGCATGTGGTCAGCGCACACTCTCCATCCGGCACGTGGCCCCGACTCCAGGGCTTTGTGACAGGGAGGGAGGAGGGGAAGGCTCCCTCCCTTGCGTGATTTTTGCCTTCTTAGCACCTACTCGACACCTCCCCTGGGTGGTCTCCTGGCTCCCTGGTGAGGCGACAGAATGACCATTTACAAGCTTCTGGCCCAGCAATTCAGAGGGGCTACAGAAGGGGCTCCAGTACTGACCAAAGCTCCGGGGTCACGTGGGCTGCTGAGGGACCTCGGGGACCCACGACCATTGTGGAGAGGACCACGCACAGTGGTGGAGGGCAGGCACAACGCGATAATACAGCAGCTGCACTGATGCGGAGAGGGTTGCAGGGGGCCAGACAGTCATTCATTTGGGATTGTTCAAGGGAAGTGTGTGTGATGTGATTTGAAAGCTCTTGGGGAATGTTGGGTTTGAAAGGAAAATGTTCCCACAGCCACTAGAGCTCAAGATGTAGGACCCCAGGGACCCTCCAGTCCAGTCTGGCTCAGTGGATGCTCAATGGTCAGCACACGGGGAGCCCAGGTCCCCGGAAGCATGGGTGAAGCCACACTTTATGCCCTGATGTCTGTGAGGCAGCTTTAGGGAAAGGCCCAGCTACTAAGTTCTGTTCAGAGCACTCTGCGCTGATGTCACCAGCAGACCCTGCAGCCTCTGGTGGAGGATGCCATAATCAATGAACGTGAGCAAGGCTCTCCAGCACCCCCTGCTCCAACAGGCAGGCCCTGGGATTCATGTGGAGGGCCATTTCCAGAGTCGGTCTGGAAGCTGGTTGTTCGAAGGCCTGAAATAATCACCTAAGGGGCAGTCAGGGCCCCAGGAGCCCCCTGGGCTACTGCTGTTCACTCAGTTGTGTCTGGCTCTTTGTGACCCCATGGACTGCAGCATGCCAGACTTCCTGTCCATCACCAACTCCTGGAGTTTGCCCAAACTCATGGCCATTGAGTCAGTGATGCCATTCAACCATCTCATCCTCTGTTGCCCCCTTCTTCTCCTGCCCTCAGTCTTTCTCAACATCAGGGCCATTCTAAACACTCAATACAGTGAGCAAGAGTTTTATGTCCTCATGGACACTTGGTGAAATTTGGCCACTTTTGTGGGACTGCTGTGCTATTTCCTTGTGGCTTTCGCTTGTATGTGGGCACTGTGTTCATGTGCTAGGTTTGTGTATTTTCTGTTGTGAAGTGTCGGTTGATGTCTTTTGCCCATTTAAAAGCTATGCTGTTTTGTCTTTTCATTCCTGATTTTAAAAATATCTTCTTGATTGAAGTCCTTAGTTTGATATATATACTGTGAAAATTTCCTCCCAGTATTCTGATGAACAGAAATTTAAAGTTTTGATGAAGTACAACTTTCCATTTTCTCCTTTCATGTTTAGTGTTTTATGTCTCTATGTCTGTTGAACTGGGGGTAATCTCAGCATTTTGCTAATATCTAGAACTTAGACGCATTTCTTTAGTAAGGCTTAAAAACCACCACCCACTGCTAACCCTTGGTCTGTGTGTTTGGTCGCTCAGTCATGTCTGACTCTGCGACCCCATGTACTGCAGCCCGCCAGGTTCCTCTGTCCATGGGATTCTGCAGGCAAGAATATTGGAGTGGATTGCCATTTCCTTCTCCAGGGATCTTCCCGACCCAGGGATAGAAACCAGGGCTCTTGCATTGACAGGTGGATTCTTTACCACTGAGCCACATGGGAAGTCTTGGTTTACAAACGCTCAATTTTAGAACCCAAAACACTGACTTCACCTAAAATTCCAGGGCTACTAAGGTTTTAAAAACAAAAAGTGCCCTTTAAAAAATATTCACTCATTCAGCACATAGGTCACACATGTCTGCTCGCAGGATGAGATGATCTGTATCAATCGAGCACAGTGCTGACAGGTATGCCAGGCCTGGGGAGGACCAGAGAGTGTCTGGGGCTCAATCGTACTTTCTAAAGCTCTCTGAAAGGAAATTCTATTAACACACTTCTTTGCAATTTGTCCCAGGGTCACAATTCTACATTCAGATTCTTTTTATGTCTAACTGAAATATTTATTTTTTAATTGAATACACCCTCATCCTGGAGAAGGAAATGGTAACCCACTCCAGTATTCTTGCTTGGAGAATCCCATGGACAGAGGAGTCTGGAGGGCTACAGTCCATGAGGTCACAAAGAGCTGGACACAACTGAAGCGACTTAGCATGCATGCATACTCTCATCTTCTGTCCTCAGGAGAAAATGAAAAGAGAAACACAGGCTTCCTCACCATTGAGACAAAAACCTCCATCCAGTAACTGAGCTCCATGCTTTGTCTTTCTTTTAAATTTTTCTACGTAATGCACCCTTTAAAAATGTTTATTTTTTAACACTCCAATCTTCTTCATCTTCTTCAAGTCTTTTACCAAGTTTTTTTCTTTTGGTGGAGGCTGGGCTAGGAGGTCACATTCGAATACAGCCCTAAACGGAGGGGTTAGTGTCCATCCCCTTCACACTCGAATAACTGACAGCCAGGGTTGGAAGAGGCCGGGACTAATCTGACTGCAGTCACCTCCCGGTGCTGGCCCCTTGCACAAGCCTCTCCTCCGGGGAAGAAGTTATCCCACACGTGCTGTCCAGTATTCCTGTGGGCAGACCTGAATGTTCTTTCTGCTGAAGTCTGCCTTCTCATGATGTCGACTCATGGGTGTGGGGTAAACACGCTGTCTACAGGGAGTTCATTTCCTCACCTGTAATCGACTGTATGGGGCTTCCCTGGCAGCTCAGTGGTAAAGAATCCGCCCGCCAAAGCAGGAGACCCGGGTTTGATCCCTGGGTCAGGAAGATCCCCTGGAGAAGGAAACAACAACCCATTCCAGTATTCTTGCCTGGGAAATCCCATAGATTGAGCAGCCTGGTGGGCTACAGTCCATGGGGTTGAAAACAATTGGACACAACTCAGTGACTAAAAAACAACAAACTTTGATACATCACTGTTCCTGCTTTGAGATGCCCTGTCTCTGCAAGATTTTGAAGTAAAGTTTCTAAAATTAACTAGCCATGTGCTCTGTTTTCAGTGGGCTTCCAGTGGTATTTTAACTACATAGTTACTAATATCAAAAGAACCTATCAGAAATTAAATTTAAATCTGTCCTATAGAATTTTCTCTCTTTCAAGAAAGTAAAATTTCCATGGTAACACCTTAAATTTGAGAGGGAGGACTTGCCTTTTCCATCACACCAATCAGGTGGGTGGCTGACAGGCCCTTAAATGTGCTTGGTCTTAGGTAACGTCCACAGCTGGGAGTCAGTCCCACCGTGACCCCACAGCATACTTACCGACCACTGCTGCTGTCATCGCTGCCCGAAACCCTGAATCACAGAAGTGTCCTATTTGACACAGCCTCCCCTTCTCGCATTACCGGTGAACAAACAGGATGCATTCAGCTGGGAGACAAAGCACGGCTTCAACCCTCTGGGCAGAGGCGCGGCCGACTGACAACACGACCACCATCTACGAGGGGCTGGACACCATGACCCCCACTCTGCAGCCAGGAGCGAAAGCAGCTGAAGGTAAACATGCGAACACTACTCCAGTTCTTTTTCTATTTTTATTTCTCAGTGTTGATTCAACTTTTCTTTCCTTCACTTTCCATGGCTGCCCTCTACCTCTGTCCTCATCCTGTTTTCTCCTTGGTTCTTTTATTCATGGTTTTTGTCTCTGGACTAGCCGTCTCATTTCTCTACTGAACTCAAAAAATCATAACATGGAAAAAAGAGAACTGATGGATTTTATGGGCAACACTAAACAGAAAATGTAGTGGCGGGGGGCAAGGGGAGGAGATCACCTAAATTCATCCATCTCATGGTTCTCTTATTTGAAAAACTCAGTAGGTCATGACCCACAGTTCCTGAGAGACAGCTGACCTATCAGGGGTCCTACAGGTCAGACTTCCCGTCCGTGGCCACCATCACACGCCCCTTAACTGTCTCCCTTCTTTTTTTGGGAGAGAAGAAAGAAAGAAAAGAAAAATTTATTTTCTTTCTTTTTTGGAGCATAATTGCTTTATAATGTTGTGTTAGTCCCTGCTATACAATGAAGTGTATCAGCCATATGTAAACACATATGCTCGCTCTTGAGATTCCCTCCCCCTGCCATCCCACCCCTCTAGGTCATCTCAGCACCGAGTTGGGCTCCCTGTGTTATATATCAGCTTCCCACTAGCTCTCTATTTTACACGTGGTTGTGTATATATGTCAGTGCTACTTGTTTCGCCCTCCCTTGCCCCCCACGCCCCCACAACCTTCTGCCTTCTCAACCAGCCCTTTCGGATTCTTTAGCAAGTTACACTGAAGGAAGAACAAAATGGGACTTACTTCAAATGGTGGCTCCTAATTACTCTGAAGAACCAACCCCTGTTAAGAATCTTGATTCTGAACCCTGAATTCCCCAAGGCAGCTTCTACTGCATCAACTTACAGAGCAGCTGGCTTCGGCGAGGCTGTTGTCCAAGTCCAGGTGGGGGTCTTACCTGTTCCTGGGTCATCTTCTGCAGCTCATTCTCCCACGCTGCCTGGTCGTCGTCCAGCTTATAGGCGGCTGGTGGAGTGAGTCCTCGGAGGATCAGGGGGTCTCGGTCGTGGCAGAGGGCGGTCAGGTGTCTGATGTACAACTTGAGCTTGCTTCTGTTTTGGTCAAGTTCTAGGAGGGACTGGATGATCTGAGGCAAAAAAAAAATGAGGAAAGTCAAGGTCAGTCTGAAACGAGAAGCTCCAGTCTCTTCGTGCCTCCGAAGGCAAAGAGACAAAGAGAGGTTAGAGCTCTGGTACCCACTAACCGCCCTCTCTGCCTGCCTGCCTGCGCGTCTACGAAGCCACACCCACCCACCACCGAGCTGGGAGCCACGTGGGGACACGGGCATGTACATCAGCATGAGACGGGAGTCCATTCAGGTGGGGGCTAAGCACAGGACTGGCTTGTTTTTGCAGAGATGACATTCTTGCTACAGAAAGACTGCAGTCCCCTCACAGCTGCTCATCCACCTATTTATGGGCAGCTACAAAAACCCTAGCTACTCTTTGAGTTCCCAAAGCTGGGTTGGAAGGGAAAAAGGATGACAGTGACCAGACTTCCCCTGTCCCCTTGTCTTTTCCTTCCAACCCAGCTTTGGGAACTCAAAGAATACCTAGTCCACCCTCTTTCCCTTCCCCCCTCCTCAAGAGTCCTGCTCATACACTGCACTCCATGCACAGTGGTCACGATTATCCATCGGAAGCAACATTCATGGCTTTCCTGTGAATGATCCCGTTATCTACCTGGTAATGCTCTGTTCCCACCACCTCCATGTCACAGCATTGCACTGGGTTTAGGGCAGCCAAGAGCAGAGAAGAGACGTGTACAATCCTGTATGATATCTCTTATGTGCAATTTAAAAACAATACAAATGACACTGGGATGACCCAGAGGGATGGGATGGGGAGGGAGGTGGGAGGGGGGTTCAGGATGGGGAACACATGTAAATCCATGGCTGATTCATGTCAATGTATGGCAAAAACCACTACAATATTATAAAGTAATTAGCCTCCAACTTATCAAAATAATTGGGGAAAAAAAAAAAGAAAAACATACAAATAATAGACACACAAAACAGAAACAAACTCAGGTTTAGGGGCTTCACTGGTGGCTCACTGATAAAGAACCTGCCTGCCAATACAGGAGATGTGGGTTCGATCCTGGGTCAGGATGATCCCCTGGAGAAGGAAATGGCAACCCACTCCAGTGTTCTTGCCTGGAGAGTCCCATGAACAGAGGAGCCTGGCAGGCTACAGTCCATGGGGTCGCCAAGAGTCGGACACAACTTAGCAACTACACAACCACACACACACACACACACACACACACACTGCAAGTGAAATGTGCTCATCTGAAAGCCTGATGCACACGCGTGTCCCTCCACCTCCTGGAACAAAGGACGCCTCTGTCCCTGGAGGGAGTGTAATCCTCTCTACACTGGAGGAGTGATGGGTGGGTGACCCGTCACGGGAGGGGTGACAGGTGAGCTCACGACGGGATCTGCCTTGTCCTGGCTGGAGCCCCTGCACTTGTCTCACAGAGGCATCGACCCTCCTTTTAGATGGTGATGGACGAATCCTCGCACAGCCCTGACACCTGAGCCCCAGCCGGGCAGGACCAGCTCCACGCTGGGTCTGCCTCTCTCCAGAGATGGGCCAGCGCTGTCTCGCATTCCCTTCACTCTAGGAACGACCACCCTCTCGGGTCCCTCGGAGAGCACATCGCACGACACACAACCTCATCGGACAGCTCTTGGGACAGCCTTGGCCAGGTCCTCGGTGCTGCATGAACCTGGGGGGTGGAGGAGGAGCTGGGTGGGCCCCCTGTCTCCGATTCTGAACCGCAGGCACAGCGTCTGCCTGACACCCAGCCCCTGTGGGGGCTGCCAACCCAGCAGATGCTGGCACATACCCGACGCTCCCTGGGCTCAGGGCAGAGTCTGTACCTGCTGGTGTCGCCGGGCTGGCATTTTTCACCAGTAGGACGCCCTGACAAGGAGCTTGCTAATCTTCAAGTCAGGAGAAATGAGGTCTGATATGCTGAATTCTGCCACCCCCACTCTCTCCAGAGGATTCCCCTGCTGCTTCCCTTATTTCCTTTTAAGAGTTTCTAAAATACAGTTTTATATATATTTTTTATTAAGAAATCAATGCAGATTTTACTCTGAAAAGTATGGGGGAAAACAGGAAAGAAATAATAAACAGTCTATAGGTTTTCCATTAAGAATAGCACTTGCAACATTTTGCTGATTTTCTTCCAAGTCTTTTTATAAACTTACATAAATCAACTTTTAACTGTATCATACTTCACATTTTGCTTAAGACCCTGTTTATCCATTTAATGTTACATTGTGAGTCCTATTTACGACATTATGTATTCCTGGAAAACATAATTTTTAATGGTTGCTTTATAAATATATCACATTTCCTGTTTCTAATGCTATTTCCGTGAAATAATTAAGACAGGCAAGACCCTCGGCTTAGTGGCTAAAACAATCTCTAACGTACTAGACAGATCAGAGGGCAGACCCACATGGCATATAATAGAGGAGCTGGAGCCTGGCTAGGAAAACCAGAGCAAGTGAATCAATTTAGCATTATTGTTTTTGAAACACACACGCTCACACAACTGTCTGGGAACAAAGGTGGTACTCTCAGGGGCTGGGGGTGGGGGGAAGGCTCTGGGCTCTTACGGGACCCCTCCAGGTCCGAGCCCTGTGTTGCCTGTGGTGTCAACACTGCCAACCGCAGAAGGAAGAGCTGTTTCAATAAAGCACAAGGTCTGGAGAGTGGGGAAATCGGACAGCTTTTCACAAACAACGGTAATCTCTCAGAAAAGACTCGGGCTTTCTTTCTGGCCACAGATGTGTGCTCACGCTGCAGAGAGCTCAGAAACTGAGTTCCAAAGCAGCATCTTCAGAGGCAAGTTCCAGGGACTTCTCTAAACGCGTGCCCACCGTGCACGTCAACAAGCCAACTGTCCAGTCGTTCCCTCCACACCTGCCACGCCGCCACGCGCCGCGGCCGTGTTTCCAGCCTGGCCTCCTCCAGCCGCTTTCATGGACACACTGATTTTAAAAAAAAAAATCACTCTGCGGATTTTCAGTGGATTTGTGCAACCTACTCCCATTTCGTGTGTGTGTGTGTGTGTGTGTGTGTGTGTGTCTGCATATAGTTGCCATCACATTTGGGCTACAAGGCAGAAAGAGCTGATACCCTAGGTAATGACTGTTTGAGCTGGAAAACTGACATTAAAAAAGCATGAAGACAATCTGATAAATGGTGGTAAGGGGAAGGTCAAATTTCTTATAGTAAAATGGAGTCTGGAAACATGCTAGCTCACTGCTGTATGGCTGGGAATGAAAAAGTGGACTCTCAGGCCTCTGTTCTTAATCAGAGATGAACTTCACACTGACTGAAATATATTTCATGCTCAGGTGCTAACTGATAACAAAATACGTAGTGTTGTGCACTCTGTAATTTTTCAAAGTCCAACTGAAAAGTTACAAATATAACAGAATTTGAAAATTTTTTTCCAGGATAAAAATTCTTTCTATGCAATGGCTGAGACACCCTTTTTTTTCTCATGTTAAAGGGAACTGCTTTTAAAAATCAAAACAAAAAACTAGAGCGCTTACTCCATGAAAGCATATGAAACTGCCCAACCAGCATAGTCTCTGAATGTGTCCATTAAAAGAAAAGTCACTGTAGCCTCTCTGAGACACATTTAGCCATGTCCATCATGGGGAAAATGCCCTTATCTCTCCCCTCCCCCTCCAAGTCTAACTTGGGCTGACCACTCAGAAAAGAAACTGTATTTCCCACAAGGAAGAACTGTGACTGCCTAACCTCAGGAGGGAAGAGGGACACTAGCCAAGTAGGAAGAGGATGCTCACAGGACCCAGAAGTTAAGTCTTTGGTCCACACAAACTTCAGAGGATTGGTAAGAAGTCCCACCAAAAGCAAGATGGTCAGGCCACATCACAGTTCTACAGCTGTGCAGAACTAGAGTTATCTTTTTTTTCCTTTTGGCAAAAAGAAGTTAAAAAATGAACTTGTCGAGAATAACCTCTGCTTCTATCAAACAGAATGCCAAAATGGCAACATTCTCTGAATCCTACATTTACCAAGTTGTTAAGGAAAATCATTTAAACTAACAGAATGGATGAGAGCCTTTCAGTTGATGTCCTGAAAGCTTTGTTTCTTCTGGTAAGGATTTACTTGCTTATGAATCAGATCCTCAACATGGCTTCAGAGGCCAGTGTGTGATGACACAAAGTGACCTCTGGAAGGGGTTTATCTTAACCTCCCCTCCACTTGAGTATGGTTGGATGGCTAGAGGTGTTTTAGAAGACAGGCAAGTTGCTCCTGTATTATGTAATACAGATTGTAATGGAAAACTCTACAGCATCCCGTTTCTGCAGCCCATTCATCTAAGAGATGGGGACACACCTGCCTGTGCCAGGATGGGACATGTGATCAAGTCCATGGCCTGCTCTCCTCTCCCCACTGTTTCTGTATTAGACCTTCGTAAGTACAGGGTGGCTGGTTGTGACACATTCTGGGAGCTCACTTTGAGAGCAGAGGTTTTATACCTTGTACTGAACATTATGTGGGACTTAATGTATTTGCCCTTGTGGTATTAATGTTTTACTGTTCAAAAGATGCCACTATTTTTTAAGCTAATTAACATTTACTTATCATTTACTGTGTTCCTGGCAAAGTACTGTTGTACTGATGACTTCTCTGTCACCAGAAGATCCTCTTGTTCTAACTTCTGTCTGCTGACATCCTGGAAGGCACATTCAGATGTCCCTGAATTACTGCATAAACACCAGAGGCAGTTCTGATTTCTCACTGGGTCACTACCACACTGCTGTCCCCCAAGGTAGGCTCATCAAGAAAGTCCCAGAACAACCAACACACTGACTTCCCAGAAACATTGTTCTCTTAATGATGTTCCTGTCCAGAGGCACCAGCAGAAAGTTGAACTTTGAAAAGTAAAAAAGGAGGCAAGCAAAAGGGAGCAGGTACAGGAAAAGATGTTCAACATCACTAGTTATTAGATAAATGCAAATCAAAACTACAATGAGGTGTCACTTCACACCACGCAGAAAGGCTATCATCAAAAAATCGACAAACAACAAAT